TGCCTCCTGCTGGCACTGATGGTCTGAGTGAAGGCGGGCTTGTCGGAGCCCTGGCAGTGGGAGCAGTTGGTGACTGAAACTTGATCACAGCCATGGCCCAACCCTCTTTCTCAAGTAAGCCTTTGCTTTATCCTGTTTGCACTTACAAAGCACATTTCATAAACCTTCTAGCCGTAATGTCTGTGTAGAAACTCCTTAGAAATCATTCACGTGAAATGCCAAATAAACATTTTCTTGTCAACCAGTGCTTTTATAAATCTTTAATAAGTTTTTTAGAAACATTTTAATTTGAAAAAGAAGTCCTTATGAAGAAAATTATGTGTCAGATTTGACTAATAATTTTAATAGATCTATTTTAATAAAAATGAGTAGCGTCTATTAAGTACTTACTACGTGTCAGACCCTGTGCTGAGCACTTGATTGCATTCAGCCCTCATCCTAACTGCTCTCAGCCACGTCGAGGAGGCCCTGCGTCTTTGATGACGGATTTTACATAAAGCACCGAGCCAGTGTGGAGGGGAAAGACCTCCAGGGCAGACACTACTACTGTTCCTAATTTACAGATGGAGCCAGGGCTCGCCATGTGCTGCCATGTGGAATGTGTCTGGCATGTGCTAAGAGTTCAGGGTTGCATCCAGACAGCCTCGCGCAGGGCCCTGGTGTTCCTGCCAGATCACACCACTGCCCTGCGAGCGCAGGAGGAAAGTGTGGACAATTTTTAAATCCATTGAAATGGGAACTAGGGAAAAAGTTGACAGTATTTAGAATATTTACCCTTGAATTTTTTATAAAGGAATTTTATAACCACGTATGGCCACTTTTTGTAAAAAGATCTTTTGTATGTTTTTTTAGAAAAATATAAACACATAAATATAAAAGTGGAGGAAGGGCAGGAACAGAGGTGGTTGCTGCTGGCAAGACAGAGACAGGCTCCGGTATGGGTGTCGCGGCTACTTGGAGAGGGTGGGGGAGTCGTTGAGCAGCCTGAGGGGTAAGGAAGCAGGAGGCTATAGACCACCTTCCAGCCAGCGCCAGGCCACGTGGCCGGAGCCCTGCCCTTGACCTTTCTCCGACAGAGCTCCGTTGCTCTGAGAGTGTTCAGTGATTTTCATTCTGACACTTCTTTCAAACAAAGCCTCACCCAGAACCTGGGTACATAAGCCGGCTCAGTGTGGCAGCGCTGTAGCCGGGCTGGGCTCCTCCGTCAGGCGTGTGTCTCTCTGCACGGAACTTCCAACGTGTAAAGAGGAAAGCGTGCAGCTGACCGCCAGGCTGTCAAGCGTCTGAGGGGCTGCAGGAGACCAGCGTGCATCGTCTTGCCCAGCTCTCCTTCCTAGCAGCGGCTCAGCCTCCTGCATGGTGGGCAGTTTTCAGCAGGAGAGAGGAAAGGAGGAAGAGGAGACTGCCAGTACCCTCTCCCACCTCTAAAGAACTTTCTCAGAAGCCTCGCCAATGGCTTCTGGTTGCATCTCTGAAGGCCAGGCCTCCAGCTACAGGGAGGTGTATTTTGGTTTAGCTGTTGCTGTGAGACTGAACACAGCGAAGTGAAGGATGAGCTGGGAAGGCGGCCCTTTGCTCCTGAGGCATCTGTGACCCTCCCCGCACCACCCCCCAGACTCCACATCAAACTAAAAAGCCTCTGCACAGCAAAAGAAACAACCGTGATGGAAAAGGCCACTCGGATGGAAACAAATACTTGCAAACCATATATCTGATAAGGATTAATATTCAAAACATATACAGACCTTATACAACTGAATAGCAGAAAAAGAAATAATCCAATGAAGAAGTTGGCAAAGGATCTGAATAAATGGTAAAGGTGTTCAACATCACTAATCATTAGGGAAATGCAAATCAAAACTGCAAGGAGACATCACTGCACACCTGTTAGGATGGCTGTCACCTAAAACACAAGGCAGGTGATGGTGAGGATGTGGAGGAAAGGAAACCCGCGGCACTGTTGGTGGGAATGCAGATTGATGCAGCCACCATGGGAAACGGTATGGAGGTTGCTCAAGAAATTAAAAATAGAACACGTATATGACCCAGCAATTCTATTGTATATCCGAAGGAAATGCAGTCACTGTGGAAGAGATCCCTTCACCCCCATGTTCACTGCAGCTATATTTACAACAGGCAAGACAGGGAACCAACTTTTGTCCATCAAGAGATGAATGGGTGAAGAAAATGTGGTCTGTGTGCACACAGTGGGAGCTATTGGTCATGAAAAGAAGGGCATCCTGCCATCTGTGACCACATGATGGGCCTCAGGGCTTTCTGCTAAGTGAAGACGACCGAGGAAGACAACTGCTGTATGACCTCACTTACATGTTGAATCTAAAAGCAAAGTCATTTTTGAATGAGATTTTTAACAAAGATCAGATTTGTGATAAGCAAAGGCAGGCGTGAGCAAATTGAGTGAAGGTGTTCAAAAGGTACAAACTTCAGTTATAAGTAAGTACTAGGGATGTACTGTGCAGCATGGTGACTAGTTAACATTGCTGAATGATGTATTTGAAAGTTGTTATGAGGAAATTCTAAAAGTTCTCATCACAAGGAAAAAACATTTTTTCATTTTTATTTATACCTATTTAAGATAATGGGTGTTAATTAAATTTATTATGGGAATCATTTTGCAGTATATCTAAGTCATATGGGTTGACAAAATTAATAAGCCCCGGCCTGTGTTGATAAATGGTTAAAGCATCGCCTGCATACCAAAGGGTTGCAGGTTCGATTCCTAGTCAAGGTTACATGCCTGGGTTCCAGGTTCGCTCCCCACCCTTAGTCAGGGCATGTGTGGGAAGCAACCAGTCGATGTGTCTCTTACATTGATGTTTTTCTTCTCTGTTTCCCCCCACCTCCCTTTGCATTCCCTCCCTTCCACTCTCTCTGAAAAGCAATGGGAAAAATACCCTCAGGTGAAGATTAACAGACCAAAAAAATTAATGATAAAATCCATGGTTGTCATGATGGTAGAAAATAGACACTCTTAAGCAAAAAAAAAAAGGGGGGGGGCAGATTTTTAATGGCATAATGTTTGAGATTTATTGTTAAATGGAAAAGCAAGTTACAAAATACAGTATGCTATATTTTGTTAGAAATATCATTTGTAGATTTGGGGATTGTGAAGCATTTTTATATTTTTGTTTTTTAGTGTTTCCTAAATTTCTAAACTGAATATTGTTACTGAGGAGTTGAGATGTGTAAAGCGATAACGAAGATAAAAATGAGCCTTGGCTGGTGTGTCTAGGTGGTTAGAGCATCCCCACTGAAGGGTCATGGGTTCAAATCTTGATGAAGGGCTTGACCTGGGTTGCAGGTTCAAACCCCAGCCCTGGGGTGTGCAGGACGCAACCAATCAGCAGGTTGCAGGTTTGGTCCCCATTTAGGGCTCGTATGGGAGGCAGATGATTGATGTTTCTCTCTCTCCCTCCCTCCCTCCCTCTCTAAAAATCAATGAAACATCCTTGGGTGAGGATTTAGAAAGAAAAAAAAGAGAGAGAGAGAGAAAGCTATGTTGTATTTTCCACTCAACTTGTGGAAGACCAAAGAAAATACTCTGACAAGTGGCATAATAGAATTGAGCATTTAAGGATCTTAGCCCAAATTCCCTGCTGGTTCCCACTGGCTTGCATTTGGGGGGCATTTCCAAGGTGGTGATTTTATGGTGAATCAAGGACGGTCTGTGCTTCTTGCTTCCTCAGGGCTGCTGGAGTGATGTGATTGGAAGACGGCTTTCCTTGCTGGTGTGCATTCTCTGCAGTGCCCTGGGTTATCTTATTCTTGGAGCCTCTACCAACATGTTCCTGTTTGTCCTCGCTAGAGTCTCTGTGGGTGAGTGCTTGCCCGTCTGTGTTTTCCTTCAAAATAAGTCACTTGTATGTATATGCATAGAGAAAACCTGTCCCTGCTGGTCAATGCCTCTGACTAGAGCTTATGTGTAGAGGGCATAATGGCGACACAAATTAGAGCTGTCACACCACCATCAGTCAGGCTCTGCTGACTTGTCCAGAGTTTCAGACCTCGTGTGTGATGGAGCCGGAGCCAGCGCCCCGTGTCTGTCACAGTGACAGCTCTGCTGCTGCGGCGGTGCCTCGCTCCTTCCTGTTCATCTCTCTCAAGCAGGATAATCTGTTAAATGTCTCCAACCAGCACTGACTGCTATTCTGTCCCTCAGCGAGCTTATAGTTTTGAAGTTGGGCTTCCTGATTTCAAATGGATACTGACCACTATAGCTTTCCTGCCGCCTTCTGTAAAGCTGGCCGTTGCTTTGTGGGGGAATGCTCAGTGGTTAGTTTTGTCTCCAGACTGCTCCTGAATGTTTCTTCCATTTTTGAAATAGCTTTTATTTTGTCCGTCCATTAAAATATTTTTCCATTCTTTGAAATACTACCTGTGAGTGCTAGGTGTTGAGATGGGTAGGTCGTTACTCTTAATTCCCTCTTTGCCCTTCTTGGTGACTAGAGCCCTGGACTTTCTGTTTCTTTCTCACCTTACTCATGAGAGCACTGACAGATTCTGCTACCCTGATGGGCAAGTCTTCTCTGTTCACCCTCCAAAATCCATGCTGAGTTGTTGTTTACTTAAGAAAATGGTTTATGAATGCCTTTGCTCTAAATGTGATCAATCATTCCAATAAGCTCCACCATCACACATAAAATCCAAATGACAGCTGTTTCATGTGCACCTGGTGTCCACATTATTTTATGTTCTTAGTTTGGTTGCAGTGTGTCCTTGTACAATATAATACACTCCACCATTCACTGGTAAGGCTGTTTAAATTCAAAAGAAACAGATGAGAGATAAATAGTGTAACTGGAACCAAGATTTGATCACCTGCTGCCAAGAAAGCCAAATTTGTGAGACATGTGCTGGTGAAAAAGGAAAGTGGTTGTTTCAACTGCTAGACGCCTGAGAAGACGGGGAACTCTTGTCACAAAGCCCATTGCAACATCTCAGTGCGGCCGAGGTTTTTATAAGGAGGGAGAGGGAACGCAGAACAAAGAAATCAAGGGGAAGGGGTGGAAAAGTTCTCCGTGTGAGGCCAGCACAGGCCGTGCCGATAAGGACCTTGAAACTGGTCACGTGATGGTCTGTGTGCATCATCCTGGTCTTCGTCGTCCTGGGTCTGTGTCATCTGGTTCTATGGTTGACGGTCAGCAAATGGCCCAGAACTGGGGTGACTGGAGATCGGGGTCTGCATCTTCTGAAGTTAGTTCCTAGGATTCTTACGCAAACATGCTGTTCATCTCCAAGCTACATATTAGTCAGAGTCAGCATTCACAGAGACAGTCACAAGAATGGTGGGGCGGGTTACAATACTACCACTCTTACAATACCACCTGTATATTTGTTACAAAATGTGTAGAGATTTATGTGGAGGATGATAATGTTAATATAAACCAACCTGGTTTGAGTAGTGACATGCAACTGCTTCCTTCAGGGAGCTCACTGGGAACCAGTGCCCATCCCGGTTAGGAGCAACCAGCCAGGCCTGCCAGCAGCATTTATTAGTGGGACCTACGATGCCTTAATCAAAACAGTGGGCAACCGAGGTCACCAGAATTCACCAGTCTGTTTGTGAGTGTGTTTGTTCAATGTGTGGGTGCCTACAAGTCAAATACATCAGTAGAAGGAAAGTCATATCGCAGCTTTCAATTTGTATAGTTTTTCAATTTGTACAGTTTCACAAGCCTCTTGCTGGTAGAAAATCAGTGGTATCATATCTTTATGTTTTTACTCCCTGTCATTCCGCTCTGTTTCTTTCCATAGCACTTAACTTATATGGAAGCTCTGTGAGGACAGGACATTTGTCTTTTTCCTGCCTTTCTGTTCTTTCTGTTCCTTGCATCACCCTCAGGGTCAAGGTTCGTGCTGGACAGACAGTAGGCATGCAGAAAATGTTTATTCCGAGTTTACGAATAATGAAGGATAACTTTCTGTATAGAAGCCACCGTGAATTGTACTTGGATAGCGGAGAGGACCGGAGACATGGGATGTCCTGATGGGAGGTTCGGGGAAGCTGAGGATTCAGGAGCTTGGTTGCCAGGGACAGGGTGGCCAACCAGGATGGTGGGCTGAACCAGGAGTCCATCACGGCGGCAGGGAACATGTGGCCTTAGAGGTTCAAAGGAAATGGATAAGAACTCCATCAGGGATAGAGGTGAAGTCCCTGCTTTTAATGTGGAAAATGTTACAGAATATGTTACTTGTCTCCTTGCAGGTATTTTTAAACATACACTCTCCATTTCAAGGGCTATGCTTTCTGATCTGGTTCCAGAGAAGGAGCGGCCATTAGTCATTGGACAATTAAATACAGCGTCTAGTGTGGGCTTCATCTTGGGCCCCGTGGTCGGTGGCTATCTTAGTGAACTAGACGGTGGATTTTGTCTAACATGCTTCATCTGTTTTTCTGTCTTCATTCTCAATGCTGGTAAGTTGCCATCGAATCATGAAAAGCCTGGTTTATTCATTCATACTGACTGATCTACCTACTTTTATCTCCTTAGAATAATTTGTTTTTCTTAGAGTATGTAGGTTCATTATTCAGAAATGAAAGATGTGCCACCCCCTGTGCAGACCTCCCGTGGGCTCCATCCTGCTAAGGCCCTGCTCGTCCCCCAGCCTCACAGTGTTGCCCTCCCCTGTTTTCCTCCAGGTGCTTCCCACACTGGCTTCCTGGTCGACCTCACACAAACCAGGCTTATTCCCACAGGACAGCATTGCCATGAGCTCTCTCTTCCACCTGCAGAGTTCTTTGCACGTTTCTTCACTGGCTCTTTCTTGTTATCACTCAAGTTTAAAATGTCTGCTTCCTCAGAGAAGCTTTCTTTGATCACTTTGTCTAAGGTAACTGTATTTGTTTATAGCTCTTCTGAAGTCGTATTACTAATGTGTTTTCGCCCCTCCCCCCAACACACACAATTAGAAAGTCAGCTCCACAAGAGCTTGTATTTGCTCAGTGCCAGAGAGGACAGGCACGTGCAGCCGGTGCTCAGTGATATTGGATGAATAGGAGAAGGCCCGCTGGACGGAGCCCCGTGGGTGCCCGGCCAGGTGCTTAAAGCCGAGAGGAGGAACCTCTCTGCCCAGAGACGGGTGCATGGCCAACCCTTAGATAAACAGCTTTATTAACAAGAGGAGTCATGCTGTTCAGTTGTCCTAAATCTAATTATATTATACTTTACTTGATATTCATTTTGAAGACTTCAGGCTGAGTGATGAATTCCATGCTGGGTTGGGATGTCAGCCTCAAGAACAAAGTTCATGAGCTTACTAATCTCAGTGCTCATGGGAATACTGCATGGTTTTCTGCCAGAAGTGTAACCTGTAACCTCAGCCAGGAGGAGAGGTCTGATGGATCAGTGTGAGTCTAGATGAAATGGCTTTAAGCATGTGACTAGTTGGTATGAATAGGTACCTTCCGATGTAAAGGAAGGTACCTACATGCGATCACTTGAAGTCAGAAGTGAGTGTATAAGCAAGGAGCATGAGTATGGCGTTCCGTTTTGGAGTGTTCAGTGATAGTGCTATTTAACGTTTTCCCTAACCTAAGCCTGTGAGTGGCCCTGAGTCAGTGAGCATGCATTCAGCTGCCAGTTTCCCAACTCCAGTCGCTTAAAGTAACAGGGATTTATTTTTCGCAGTAAAGACCTGTGGGGTCACAGGCTGCAGCCGATGCAGGGAAGGAGGGAGAGTGAGGGTGGGCACAGGCAGTGTCCACAGAGACATGCAGGGAGGAGGGAGAGGGGACACAGTGCCCACAGAGACGTGCAGGGGAGGAGGGAGAGGGGACACAGACAGTGCCCACAGAGACATGCAGGGAGGAGGGAGAGGGGACACAGACAGTGCCCACAGAGACATGCAGGGAGGAGGGAGAGGGGACACAGACAGTGCCCACAGAGACATGCAGGGAGGAGGGAGAGTGGGGGGTGGTCACATTGCCCACAGAGACATGCAGGGAGGAGGGAGAGTGGGGGGTGGTCACATTGCCCACAGAGACATGCAGGGAGGAGGGAGAGTGGGGGGTGGTCACATTGCCCACAGAGACATGCAGGGAGGAGGGAGAGGGGACACAGACAGTGGCCACAGAGACATACAGGGAGGAGGGAGAGGGGACACAGACAGTGCCCACAGAGACATGCAGGGAGGAGGGAGAGGGGACACAGACAGTGTCCACAGAGGCATGCAGGGGAGGAGGGGGGAGGGAACACAGATAGTGCCCACAGAGACATGCAGGGGAGGAGGGAGAGTGGGGGGTGGTCACAGTGCCCACAGAGACATGCAGGGGAGGAGGGAGAAGGGACACAGACAGTGCCCACGGAGACATGCAGGGAGGAAGGAAAGGGGACACAGAGAGTGCCCACAGAGCCATTCAGGGAGGAGGGGAGAGGGGACACAGAGAGTGCCCACAGAGACATGCAGGGAGGAGGGAGAGGGGACACAGACAGTGCCGCCCACAGAGACATGCAGGGAGGAGGGGAGAGGGGACACAGACAGTGCCTACAGAGATATGCAGGGGAGGAGGGAGAGGGGACACAGACAGTGTCCACAGAGACATGCAGGGAGGAGGGGAGAGGGGACACAGACAGTGCCCACAGAGACATGTAGGGAGGAGGGAGAGGGGACACAGACAGTGTCGCACAGCACGCTGGGCCTTCCAGGGCGGTGAGCAGTGTATGGCTGTCGTCTCAATCCGTTTTGTCATACTTTTGTCCTCAATGACGGCCATTTGCCTCAACCCGACCCCTTCTTATGTCCTTGCTCTGATCTGCCACTTCCCTGGCCATGACTTGTTTTCTCCTGGGTCAGAACTCAGGCTCTGGTCTGAGATTGGGTGCCGTCCCCGCCCGGCCCCGTTCAGTGTGGGCCTCAGCTGGGTTGTCTCCGTCTCCTCGTCGTCGGAGCTGGAGAAACAGCCCTGGTGGACGTGTTGTGAGAACGAGTGGAGGTTTGCACAGAAGCAGTTTACCCCCCTGCGGTGCACATGGTAACCACCCAGTAAATGCCAGTTGCTGTCATCCTCATTTTTATTATTATGTAATTATACTTCTCTTTTAGTCCCTTAGCGACAGTTCTTTCACGTCTTATCCAGTTCTGTGAGCTGTCCAAGGGAACTGTCATAAATGAGAGCGAGGGAAAGTCCAGGCCTGCTTTCTCACGTGACCAGCTTTCTGTCCTAAACTAGTGCCTGGCTAATAGGCCCCTTACACTGTGTTTGGAGGATGTACACGTGCAGGCAGAGCTTGGGCACAGCAGGAAGCAGCCCTGACCGGCGGCCACGGGCCGGTGGGACTTGTGCCGAAGGACTGAAAACCACAGGGATGAGTTAGGAAACGGGTCCTAGGTGGCGAGCTTGTGTTGTTTTAAGAAAACTCAGGGCAGGGATTGGCACGAAGTCATTGTACTTGGATGGCATGGATCATAACAGCGGAGGCAAGACCGTGCCTGTCACCTGGGGGCAGAGGGCATTATCTGAGCAGGGACAGAGCTGCTGGGTAAGGGGTGTCATGGGCGATGGGAATGGTGCCCCCAGAGGTTGCGACGTGAGACTTGCCAAAGCGCAGATCCTGCAGGTGCTTCCTGACGGGCCGTTGGTGCGGGAACCCCGGCCACGCCCTGCCAGGCTGGCTGGCCTAGCACCCTCTGCCCCCCAGCACAGCGCTTACCCTGGAATCGAATTGCCCGTCTGCATGTCCACACCCCCTCAGGTTTAAGTTCCTTGGGGACAGGGATTGTACAGGCCTTGCCTTGTGTGTGAATGTAGTGGCTAGCACGGGGTTCAGCATTTAGAAGCCTGACTATTCAGTGTTGGGTGGGTGGTCAGATGGTGGATAGTCAGAGAATTAGCCAAGTAGTGAGGGAAGAACTTAAGTGTAAAGCCTAAGAATTTAGATATGAAATGGTGGGATATAGGAAGCCCGCATAGGCTCTTGAGCTGGGGAAAACAGTATTACTTAGGCGTAGATTTTTCCTTAAGGCGAATTTCAGAATTCTGGTATTAATATGGAGTAGAGGTAGCTGTGGGAATGGTTAAAAACTGGATTCAAGAATACAGATGAGTAAATCTGCTAATAAAAAACTGCAATATAACCTAATGCAGTCATTGCCTGTCCCCGTGGGAGGCGTGTGTGACCGTGAAGTCACCCACTTTAACAGACGCGCATTTCAACAGGTCTCGTTTGGCTGTTTCCATGGAGTGAAGTGAGTGTCCATAGTACAGAGAGCAGCCTGCGATTGGGTGAGAACCATGCGCCTTTG